AAGGCGGAATAGCTGGAGGACCTAAGCACTACGCTCAATGTCCTCAATAGCGCTTCCCAACGGATAGGTCTTAAGATGAACATGGACGGAACGAAGGTCATGTAAGGGGTGATCCAAAAGTAATGATAATCGGTTACTTCAGGTCCGCATAAAAATCCAAAAAAAAATATTTTTTGCTTGCTTATATACTCACTACGTCAGCCTAAAAAAATCATATAAATAGATCACGATTTCCGGGAGATACATTCATTTGAATACGAACTGTCAAAGATAACATCAACATGGAGGAAAACGAAATTAGAGCTGTCATCAAGTACCTCTGTTTGAAAAAAATGTCTTCAAAAGACATACACAGTGACTTAGTGGAAACATTGGGAGACTCTGCTCCTCCATATTCTACAGTTGCACGCTGGGCCAAAGAGTTTAAACTGGGCAGACCATCCACTGAAGATGAACATCGCGAAGGACGCCCATCCACGTCCCTCACTGAAGACAACGTGAAAAAAGTCGAAGATGTTGTGTTGGCAGATCGAAGGGTGACCATCAGGCATGTAACTGAGGTCACAGGGATCTCATATGGTAGCGTTCAAAGAATCCTTGCGAACGAGTTGCATATGAAAAAGGTCTCTGCGTGTTGGGTACCCAGAATATTAACCGACGAGCAAAAGAAAAATCGAGTTGACATTTCGAGGGTCAATCTCGAAAAGTTCCAAGCAGATCAACAAAATTTTTTGTTCCGTTTTGTGACTATGGACGAGACCTGGATCTTGATCCTGAAACGAAACAACAATCGATGACTTGGAAGCGAGCCTCCTCATCGACGCCAAAGAAATTCAAAGTTTCAAGTTCGGCGGGAAAGGTTATGGCATCTGTTTTTTGGGACGCTCAAGGCATAATTATGGTGGAATATTTGGAAAAGGGAGCCACTATTACGGGCTCTTACTACGCATATCAAATAAGAATATTACGGGAGGCCATTAAGGAAAAAAGACGCGGAAAACTGCGAGCTGGAGTGCTGTTTCACCAAGACAACGCACCGGCTCACAAAACCGCAGTTGCAATGGCTGCCATTCAAGAAATGGGATTCGAACTGCTCGAACACCCTCCCTATTCGCCAGATCTAGCTTTTAGTGATTTCTACCTCTTTCCTCAGCTCAAGGAACGCCTCCGAGGCAAGAAATTCGAAGACGATAGCGAAGTAATGGCCGCTGTTGAAGCGTTTTGGGAGGGTCAAGACAAAGAATTTTTTTTAAAGGGAATCCTGGGTTTAGAAAAAAGATGGACTAACTGTATTGATTTGTTAGGAGACTATGTAGAAAAATAAATTATTATTTTAACTTTAATTACCGTGTTTTATTTTCATTATCATTACTTTTGGATCACCCCTCGTATAACGTCCATGTCACACCTATGCCGGTAGTTGTTGGTAGCACTAAGCTCGAAGTCGTTGACGAGTATGTTTATTATGACGACTATATTAGAGAAATATTTTACTGATATTCCGGTAATGACCACTAAGTCATTGAATTCTTCTCCTGCCGTTGCCTAATAATTACTTAAACAACATGTAAATGCGCGTACAAAGAACTTTACATTTTATAATGTATCATCAAAAGATATTGTAACGTATTTTAAAACTATTGATGTTAAGAAAACTGCGGATCTGTGGGGATTTCCGTTAAAGTTATTGCGTCTATAATAGATAGAATCGCGCCTCATTTAGCTATTATTTTTAATACTAGTATCGAATCTGGTATGTTTCCTGATTTAATGAAGTAATAATATAAAATAGTAAAGTATAACCTTTATTTAAATCTGGTAGTACATTAGACCCCGCCGATTTTAGACCTATTTATGTGCTACCAACACTTAGTAAGATTTTTGAAAAAAATTATTCTTGATCAAATGTTAAATTTCTTTAATATAAATAATTTACTTCATAAAAATCAATTTGGTTTCACAAGGGGTCGCTCGAAAACTGATGCTGGTGTTGAGCTGATTAAATATATCTTTAATGCATTGGAGAATTTACAGGATGCTTTGGGTATATTTTGTGACCTATCCTAGGCCTTCGATTGTGTTCACCATGAAACATTAATCAGGAAACTTCAACACTACGGTGTAAGAAGTGATGCTCTTAAATTAATTATTTCATATTTAAGTAAGAGGACGCAAAAAGTTGTCATTAACAGTATGAGCTCTTCCGGGTCATTGGTACAAATGGGCGTACCTCAAGGCTCAATTCTCGGCCCCTTTCTGTTTCTTGAATACATTAATGACTTACCTCACATAGTATGGGATAAATATGATATAGTATTATTTGCAGATGACACTTCTTTAATTTTCAAATTAAGTCGAAAATTACTAAAATATGTCGAATTAAATAATGCTATATCTAAATTAGCAAATTGGTTCAATGTTATGCATTTACTACATACATACTAAATCTAAATGTATGAAATTCAAGATTCCAGATGTCAAACAATTTTTTTATATGATAGGGTGACAAACGAGCACACAGTGATGGTAAGTGGTTGCTGTGGCGCATAGACATCTACATTTATCCTCGTTTGAGAATCAAAATGCAGATGCGTTGTCACCCATGAGGACTAAGATGGAATACCTCTTTTCCAGTAAAAAGGGTCTCCGGTTCTCTACACACACCATACGAAATACAGCAGTGACAAGCTGCCATTTTACGCTGGTATTCTGTGAGGTCTCCCAGTTTGATCATCAATTTTTCTTAGATATTATCAATTCGAATTGCAGTTGTCTCTATTGGTTGTCTATCTCGGCCGTTTAGGCACAGCGCGACTACAATAGATCTGTTTATAAATCTTTTTTTCAGATGTCTTGCCGCCCGCATCTTTAAAAGACAAACAACATAGTAAGGTATCTATAGGGAATCTAATAAACATGGATTGCGATCGTGTGAGTTAGAAGGATTTAGTCAATCTGCCAGATTAATTTTCCTATGTGTTAGCACTTCTTTTATGCCTAGGAGTCTGTCTGGGTAGTAGGTTTAGGTTTAAAGAAACTTTATTCTCAATAAAGACATATGTCATTCATTTGAGAACAATATTAACACATGCAATGATGGCTAATAATTTTCAGCTCACCAGATGTCGCTAGTTGACACTGAGGTAAAGTTTTTTGTTACGCAATGTAATTTAATTGAGAAGTTAGTTTCAAATAAAAGTTTATCACTTTCTGGAGTATTATATTAATACACAAAACAATGCGTCATTGGTTTGTTCTTTAATATTTTGCACATTTTTAACATTTTTTTTAATTTTACTACTTTTATGAATATCCGTGGTTTGGTTTATTTATTTTTAATGTTATTAATTTAAAAATATAGCTAATAGTACAGAAAAAACAATAACTTTTACATTTTCCGACCAAATTAACTTTCCCGCTATGAAATCTGTCAAATATTTTACCTCACTTTCTAGTGCGCCGTCTTGGTGGCACAAAAAGTCGTGGATGCCCTCATCACACAACGTTCGTCGTCATCAGTTACAAACTAGATATACCCATTCAGTGTCTTCATTTCTCCAGAAGTGATCGATCCGTAATTATATACTGATTAAGTTGAGCTTTGAATGCATTGAAAGAGTGTAAAATTCTGATACTATATATATTATATATATATAGGGTATTCTATTATAAAGCTGTGCTCCTTCAAAAGTTAGCATTTTTTTGCCATAGTTAGTACTAGTTCTGGGTAAGACTATTAAGCTAGCTCGTCGTGTGCTACGTTGGCTGATTTATTTATGTTGGGTGAGTGTTACGTTTGTGTGAATACTTTTAGTAAGAATTTTTCTCATGACAACACATGTGTGGTTAATATATAGTTGTTTGATATTCATTATACTTAGTAGAGCCATGCTGCAGCTATATTACTGGTATAGTTGTAGCACGAATGGGTCGGCTCGACCGGAGAAGAACCACGCTCTCACAGAATACCAACGTAAAATAGCAGCTTAACGCTGCTGTTTCGTATGGTGAGTGTAGAGAACCGGAGATCCTTTTTACTGGAAACTTAGTCCTAACGGCTGACAACGCATCTAAATTTTGATTCGCAAACGAGGATAGATGTAGATGTCTATAGGCCACAGCAACCACTTACCATCAGGTGAACTGTGTGCTCGTTTGTCACCCTATCCTATGAAAATATTTTGGTATCTATATAATTTTTACAGGTTTATGTTAACCCTCTATAACTCAAAATCTTAAAATTACATATTTTTCATGGAATCGGATAGGATTATAAAATTAATAAAATTCGTATTTTTTTAAACTATGTATTTTTTTATTAATCAAGCATAATACTACAAAAAAGGGAGTGTAGCTCCTAGGCAACAATGAGTTACAACAGTAAAAATTAGTTAATATTACTTTAATTGAGAAGAATGTAAATCAGTTACAACAGATGGAAGTTCCTGAAACAATTTTTGTTTTTGGTATAACATAAAGCTACGCCGCATTTATCACACACCGTATGAGTAAATCCAGCACACTTTGGGAACTTACAACGGATTTTTTTTTTCTGCCCATTGAGGCCAGTGACCGACTTGATCTTGGCGGACTGCTTGGAGGTACATGTTAGGCAGGTCCTTTGTGTTTCTTTGCTAGGATTTCACCTTCAATAGATCGGCGTATTGTTAAACCGGTTTTCACCCCCATCTTGCACAATGTTTCGGCAATTTCCAGGCGAAAATATGCAGATGCCATGATGGTCTTGTTGGGAATGTTTTTATACTTGCAGACTCTCTTATAGAACAGCCATGCATTAGCCATTGTTAGGTCTAAGAAGTGATAGAAGAGACGCATCTGCCAACGTTTGCTTCTCAGTTTTATCTTGTAGATGCCCATAATGCTATCTACAAGGTCCACACCGCCCATATGACGGTTATACTCGCTCACAACATTAGGTCGCGGGATGTTTATGTATCTTGAGTTCTTTTTGTCGTATCTCCGGACTTCGGTTATAGGATTTAGACCAGCAAATGTGGAAGCCAATGTAACAAGCTATTGTCCTTCCATACAACCGTTGACACGTCGATGCCGTTGATATCAGCTACGTACTTTTCAGAATATCCTCGAACTTTCTTCATAATCTCTTTTTCTGACGACAGCTTGCAGTCAGGAATGCTATTCCTTCTAATAGTACCTAGCCCAAGAATACCTTCTTTTCCTAAATATTCCAAAAGATGCAAGGAAGTGAAGTAGTTATCGAAATAGAGCCTGTAATTTTGGTGTTGCGGAATCATACGCGATAATCTCACTACTACATTGGAAGAAGCTCCTAAATCTGGCTCGTCGACTCTGACAACATTCTCTTTGCCAGATTAAATCTCTATTGTATAAGCAAAACCGGAAACACCACTCAACGCATATAATTTATAACCCCACTTATGAGGTTTCTTGGAATTATACCTTTTCAGCATAGCGCTTTTGTAGAGCAAATTTGCTCATCCATACAAAGTTGTTTTTCTAATGGAACTTTACCATAAGCTTCGTTCAAGGCATCAACGACTGGGCGAATTTTGAAGATCCTATCGGAATCAGGGTGGGTCCTATGTAGACATTTAGTGTTATCATTAAAATGCAGATATTGTTTAATCTTTTCAAATTTATTAGAAGGCATGGTCTGTTGAATTACAGGTGTATCCAAGACGGAACTCCAGTGGTTGGTCACTCTGGGTAGCTGGATCAGTGACATCATATATACTACCCCTATAAATTGACGCATTTCTGTCTCCGATACACGAAACGTGCTGTTTAGATCTTTTTGTACCACGTAGAGGTTTGTCTCTTCCGAAATTCTCTTTAGGAGTTCTGGTGGAAATAAAAAAAGAAAGAACTGTATTGGAGTATCAAGGTCCAAGATATCAGAACTCAATGACTCGTTGCCAGTAAAAGCTAGCTGCTGTGCATTCAGCTCTAAATTCTTCTTTTTCCACCGTAATGTTAGCTTTTCAGGCTTTCGACGTTTTACAGGGGGATCCTGAAGTACATGGAATGTCTGAACTAGATGAGGCCGGCCCTACTTCTACCTCAAAGTTGGAGTTACGGTCATCATCATTCAAGGTATCTACTAGCGCATCTATGTCAAATTCAGCTTCCAAAGATTCGTCAATCGACTCTTCAAAATCTGGTTCAAAGTCAGGATCCATCAAATTATCCTTATCTAAGTCGAGTCAACGTGGTAGAGCCATGCTGCAGCTACATTAATAGTATAGTTGTAGCACGAATGGGTCGGCTCGACCGGGGAAGGATCATGCTCTCATAGAATACCAGCGTAAAATACCAGCTTAATGCTGCTGTGTTTAGTATGGTGAGTGTAGAGAACCGGAGACCCTTTTTACTGGAAAAGAGGCATTCCATCTTAGTCCTCACGGGTGACAACGCATCTGCATTTTGACTCTTTATTGAGAATAGATGTAGATGTTTATGGACCACAGCAACCACTTACCATCAGGTGGACTGTGTGCTCGTTTGTCACCCTATCCTATAAAAAAAAGAGTCCATCTTCACTTAAATCACATTTGAGTGCGCAGGCGATTTCGTTTTCATTTAGGTGAATTTGGTGAGCCATCCTAAAACAAAATAATAACGAGTGTAAATATTCACAGTGTTGGTACAAGATAGTTCCCCTTTCCGCACAATGTAGCCTACAAGACACAAACACTAATAGTCACCTAATACATAAAAACTTTAAAATATCAGCAAAAAAATAATAATGTGGTAAACTATAAGCACTTACCTTACAGATTATCAAAAAAACAAACACCAAAAAACATCTAGTTTGACATGCTTGTACTAAATTGAAAGAAGAGAGTGTAGACAATACTCTACATTGCTTGAAAAAACGAATTAATTTTACTTGGAGAATTTAGGAAAGGTGAAACGGTATGTTGCCTGTAGTCTACAATGAGTTACAGAGGGTTAAATATGGATACCTAGTTGAATAGTATTCTTATCAGTTTATTTTGGGTAATTTGAAGTTCTGCTAGTTCTTACCTATTTCTGCGGACAAGTAGCAGTGCCTGCACTGCTGTGTTCCATTGTCAAGGGTACAGAGAGCCAGTGTAATAACAGACTGTGAGGCATTCCATGGTGGAGTTTTTTTGAAATTTCCATTTACAAAGTTGCGGACGACCTCAGGAGTGAAAACGCATCTGTAGCCCCCTTTTATTTGAAATTAGCTGCAGATGTCTATGGACTGCCGTAGCTACATAAGTCCAAAGAGGCATTCCATCTTAGTCCTCACGGGTGACAACTAAACTATCTAAATCTGCATTTTGATTCGCAGAAGAGGATAGATTTAAATGTCTATGGGCCACAGCAACCACAGTGGAGTGGAGTGTGTGCTCGTTTGTCACTTTAGTTTATTAAAAATAAAACATTTACAAATGGTCCAAATAGCAATGGACCCAGATGGAAGCTCAATGATCTCTCGGCGAGGTTCCTTTGATGCCCCCCAGTGCGTAAGTGTAACGTTGCGTACGGAAAGGCATCCTCTATGGAATTAAAGGCTGTTGTTGTGGTGTTGTTGCTTTTAAAAAGACGATATAATTAAATATACATCGTTTAAAATCAAAAATTTTGTACAACCGACTTCAATATAAATTATTAAGAATAACTCAAAAACTATTGGTTAGATCTTGATCAATTTATATCTGACGACATGAGAAACACCAGCTTTCAAATAAAAAAGAATCGTCGAAATCGGTTCACCCAGTAAAAAGTTATTAGGTAACACATAAAAAAAACCATACAGTCGAATTGAGTACCGTCTCCTTTTTGAAGTCGGTAGAAAAGGGATGATTGTGTGAGTGAGAACCATGGTGATTAACCGAGATGGATTCTGAGACAAAAAGTGTCTCATCACCTAGTAACATTTCATACAATAAGACGATATACGTGGTAGAGCCATGCTGCAGCTTTATTAGTAGTATAGTTGTAGCACGAATGAAAGCACTCAGTTAAAATTCATACAAAATTAAAAAAAAAAAATTGTTTTGCACTTTTTCAATAGAAGACAGTACAAAATTACATATTTATACAATCACAAAACAAATATAATACCTATAATAATTTCACCCATACTATAAAATATCCGTGAATTTAACGGACTCGTTTAAAAATTTATATGTACCTTGATTTACGACAAGACATTTGCGAAATAATTACAGCAACAAATCAATCAACCATATATTAATTAGCAGTTAAAATTATTTATTTATTTCGCCCTGGACTATTTTTTGCAATGGCTTTATCCTCCTGTGACCGAATGCGCGCTAGTTATAAAAAATAGACATAATTAAAAGCTTTTATTGGCTTCAGCGCCCTGATAGATTTATGGCGCCAATTTCCGCAAACAAGCGCGCGTAGGCTTAAATCGGGTGGCGATAGTTTGAATTTGTTACTGCCGTTTCATATTATTTTGTTAAGACATTACATTTTCTATTAGAACGTTTTCTTGGAAACTGTTTTTAATTCGTTTGAATTGTGTTACATAACTAAATAAACCGTTAAAATTTATTATAATAGCTATACCCGGACACGAGTTGCTGTGGCTTAAAATTCAAATATATATATTCTAAAAACATGTATGTATACATTCGTATGCAACGTTGTGTCATTCAAAAATTTGAAAGCAATCGGATAAGAGCTTTCAGAGATTTTGTGCAAACGAACAAAATTCATTTTTATTTACACCTATAGATTGAAACGTAAAGATTTATCACGAAAAGGATTGTCATGTAAGATGAATGCTACAGCCTGTAATTGTGTTGGCTGTCTATACCTTAGGACCATTTATAGCAGTGCAAGCACTGCTGGATATGCGGCAGACATAGATAAGAGGATGATACCCAAGCTTCTAGGCAAAGGAGTCAAAATGTCACTATGTTGACTGTTACACGTCAAAAACTTGTCTCCTACTGGAGCCGTCATTCGATAACAACTAAGTTAACGACTCTGTGGCACAGTGGGTTTGCATTAACCTGCGGCACTGAAGGTCACGGATTCAAATCCCGCACATCATAAGTATGACATAAATATTATGGCCTGCAAATAAAGTTTTTTAAACAAATGAAAAGTAGTCTTGCGTTTGTCGGTCACGTCTTTGAAAAAATATTTTGAAGATATATGCATGTGAAAATAATTATATTTACTGCTGCACATAGACCTGAGAAGCTGACCTTCTTGGAAAGGTCTATGTGCAGCAGGCACATAGAAGAAGGTGCCAGTACCAGCAGACATTACTTGGTAGATTTGCCACACCACGCTACCACGATGGGTCGGCAAGCATGTAGCTAGTGGTATCACCCTGCTAATGCTGCTCCACTCCTTTCTTTTCGATATTTCACACATTCAAACCAAACGATTTGCTCCATCTTTCGTGGTGTACACAGCAGCTAAGGAGTGGAATAATTTGCCTAGCGTCTCTTCGTCCGACTACAATCTAGATTTTAATTCATGACAAGAGTGAAAATGCTTTCGTTACTCTTAGACAGTGCGATTTGCCATCCAGGCCGCCATAGAGGCAAATCCCCTTTTTACTGGAAACGAGGCATTCCATCTTAGTCATTAAGTGACAACGCATCTGCATTTTGATTCGTAATCGAGGATAAATGTAGATGTTTATAGGCTACAGCAACCACTTACCATCGGTTGGACTGTGTGCTCGTTTGTCACCCTTATCCTATAAAAAAATCCTACATACAATGGAGAAGCCTATGGCCTAGCAGTGGACTTTATGGGTTGATGATGAAGAACTACTTTTACTTTGTAAATACTAATTAAAATCACAAGGCCTCATATTGTGTTTCCAAGTACCTCATACTGAAATCAAACCTTTCTCCAAAGATATTGTAGTAGCATTTTTAGTAAACATTATTCTTTCTTATTTTTCATCGGTCCGTGATGGTCTACTGCTGAGCGTGGACCTGTTTTATTTTAAGAATGAATTGTTGTAACGCTACGATAGGCAGAGGCAGACGAAATGGTTGGCGTAGACAGTAATAATGGGTATTTTGCATTTGGAGTATACTAGAGAAGTATATCGTCTCAGTGGGGGTGAGAGTTTACTATATAGTGTCAGTGTAAGGATATCTACTAACTCATATCTATATATCTATATATATCTATATACATAGTGGTAATTATGGCAAAACCCTCCATATGAGGTAAACTATGGGAGTGGCCTATGTTCAGTAGTGGACTTTTATAGGCTATTATGGATGATGGGTGTTTCATAACGGTCTACTTCCTAAGCAAACCGTGACCTTATATTCAAGTATGTATTTTTCTTTGACTGCTCCTTTGGTCTAATCGTAAGCGTGACTGCTGTTCATATGGTTCCGGATTCGAAGCTATTCTGTCAAGAAATTCTCGAAAGTCAGCAAAATGGCGGTGTTTGCTTCTGCTATGTACGCTTTGGCCTCTCAATACATTTATGAAAATGTAATGCACGTGCACAAAAATAAAAGTTGTTTTACAAAAATTAGTTATATTAATTCTGTGAATACTAGGAACAGACACAAGCTAGTAGTACCAGTTACTCGACTCCATCGAGTCAGTAATTCATTCTTGGGGCGATGTATACGCTTTTACAACAAAATTCCAGAAAATATACAAAATTTGACCTGTTCAAAGTTCAAAAACTTCATTAAACTAATACATACATACATAAACACTCACGCCTGTCACCCAGAGGGGTAGGCAGAGACTACCGACTTCCATTTGGCACGATCCTGACACACCTCTCTCGCCTCTTTTACATCCATATATCTACGCATACACGCTCGTCGGTTAAGGGTACTCTTAATCTGGCCCATTTTTAATGTATCGCCGATTTGGTCGATAAACCTTCGTCTAAGGCGTCCCTTCCCGACCCTGCCGTTCACTTCTGCAACATAAATTTGCTTTGTCACTCTTTCCTCGTTCATTCTTTCTACACATAGATTAATCTGTGTTTCTACATGACCAAACCACCGAAGCATTCCTTTCTTAATCCTTGTCACAACGTCATCTTGCAAACCATACTTTTGTCTTATTAAACTAAGTTTGTAAAGGGTTATTATAATATCAAGGAATTTATGGATGAAAATAACCCCTGGAAATGAGGTGATCGCTACCAAGCTATTTCAATTTTTTTTGTGTTGTTAATTATGTAACATACATGATAATTGTAAGCTGTTATTTAAAAAAATCCCGCTGGGTTTCTTGCTGGTTCTTCCCAGGACAGAGGTTTTTTCGAATCAGTGGTAATTAAACAAAAGAGTGACTTTCAATAAGTATTATTTATAATCTGTGTTGAATAAAAAAATTCTGTTTCTGTTTCTGTTCCATAACCGTGCCTCGTAAAGCATATAAAAACAGTGTTCTTGGCCGGTCTCTGATTGCCATCGCATCGGCCTATGACCATGAGGGAATGCACCTGTGTTTGCGCACACTCTTGCACTATAATCAAGACCTGCGTATATGATATCCTTTGACCTTGGCTGACATGTCAGAAATTTGGTCTGGAGGACATCATTTTATATATTCTTCTCATTCAATTTCTGTCAATTCAGCTTCTATGTAATTAAATGGTGTAGTAGATTCATTTATTATAATAGTTTTTTTTGATTATTTTAAGTAATTTTCTTTGATGAATATGGCAATAAAATAAAATTCGTAATTAGTTTTCGTTATTTATTCGATAGTTTCCATGATAACTTTCTTGTTTTATTTAATATTGCCTCACTAGATTATTTATATTTTGGCACGGTATTTGGCGTCGTTGACTACCATACAATACTGATTATTTCATTCTATTGCATATTTTTTGATCATACGTTTTCTTTGGTATTAATTACATCATTAGATGCTTATATAGAATCAAGTGAAAACTTTTCAACTCGTTAAACAACTTTATCTTTACTGTTCAATGAGTTTCTAAAGATAAAATAATTAATAAATATATTTAGAACATATTGTTTCCCAGTTGAAAGTTTTCACTGAAACCATTAGAAGACTTTAGGTGTCAAACACAAACCTTTAGAGTATCTAAATGAGTAGAAAAAACTAATTTCTATTAAATTATTTTATACATTTTAATGTACTATGAAACTAAAATGTTAACGCTCGTTTCTAAAAACATTTATTTCCAAATAATTATCATTCAAATAATGCTCTATATTTCTTACAATGCTACAATTGACACCTAAAAGTCCAAACATATCATTCAATAACACCAGATTTCTATGTTACATAGATACTTAAGGAAATAATCGATATCGCAATTAACTAGTATCGTTTACGTAGTTACATACAAACAACCTTTTTACATTTACAACATCGTCTACATAACACGAGGTAACGAATTAGTCACAACTAAGTTTCAGCCCGAAATATATCCAACTTTGAACCTAGTTGAAGAGTTTGGTAAAGGATTTATTTTACAAATTTCATTAAGATTGTATTACTTTTACATTTGGGAGCAATTTGAAAATTTTACTTTGAGCCGAATTATATTCAGATCAAAAAATGTTTCTAAAACTTTTTTAACCTATACTTTTTTTAAATATAGCAAATAACTGAAATATTGAACACAGATTCTGGTAACCAGTCGACCTTTGACAATTATTCGCATTACTATACAGATGTAAGTACAATCAACTGACATGCTATTTCATCAAATAAAAAATATTAAAAAAATAGGAATATAAACCTAATGACAGACAATGAAATACCGACAAAGAAATGCAGAATGAAATGCCAGTTCGAAGACTTAGTTGCTCACTTAAATATTCTTTAAATTTAACGTATATATGTCTTTTGGCCCGCAAAAGGTTAAACATCCACTTAGGAAGACGTTACTTGGCAAATAGATGATTATTCGATTAAACTTTACTCCCACTTACAATTATAAATCCTATACAATAATCATTAAATCTTTTAGTTATTGCTTTAATTTCGATTTTGGTCTATCAAATCCGTGGCGAGTGATTATTCGTGTAAATGATAAGTTGTGTGCTATCCATGTGCTTATATTCGATTACAGCTAGAACAGAAAGAAATAAAGCGGTCTCGACAAACAGTTACTACGAGCAGCGAAACTAGGAGTAAAAATACTTCTAAAAGATGAACACTAGTTACTATAACGGGATGACCGTTAGTGTCGACTTTTGAACGTCTTCGATTACATTCGTCCTGAGATCACGTTCTTAAAGATTAAGTACAATCTATTATTGCGTGTTCCGAATTGCACTATTACGATTACAAAGTACAAACGAAAGAGGTCTTTGATTTCTTTGATGCACACCACAAAATGTTTTGTCCAGAGCGGGCACGGGGTGCCGCAAGGCAGCCGCTTGGCCCACTTTTACTCTGTTTATATGTGAACAAAGAGATCGCAGTCTTTGATGTCAGCGAACACTTTTAGTTATTTTGAGCGCACTTCAGACGGGCGGGTCCATGTGGCGCTGCAGCGACGTCAGTCAGGTGTGAAACACCCACCCTGGGATCGGAGGTCACGCGTCCGGAACGCCGTGAATGTGATGCTGGTAGTTGTGGTTCAGCTTGTTGGCAAACTCGTGCATTATGTCCCTGAATATAACTGAGTCGAGATTCTCTCCTAGGATGTATAACAGGTACCAGTCGCCCATTTTGCTTCTCCTTACAATTGTGTCGACATTGTCTCGCCTCACTAGCCGGAATCGCATTCGCATCATGTACACACGCATCCGCGGTGAAAAGATGATGACGAGGCGGTAGATTAGGGTGATGAACGTGAGGATACCCAGGATGACGAACCAGAACCACAGGAAGACGTAGATTTTCTCGTTGACGACGTTGAGCGGCAATATGCAGAGAGCGTCGTGCCGCTCCACTTCGCCTGACGACCCAAATTTGTTGAACAGCGTGCATTTCACCATCCTGTAATATGAAGAAAAAAAGTTAAGTAAAATGAAGTTAAAAAATTTAAAGGTGATAAATTTCCTTTGAAAATTAAAATTATAGTTAAAATGACCCGAAAGCTTGAATACACTGAATACTAAAGATAAGTGTTAAATATAAAGTTAGCTTATTGTACGTTTCTTTTTTTTTACAGTCAAGTTTTAAATTGAATCGATTTATTATATTAGTTAGTTATTATATTAGTTAATTGAATGCGTTAATCGATAACCGCAACCCTTTGCAGTTAGAGTTTTCAGTTTATATTAAAGCCTGGTAATTACTTGCATTGCACTAAGAGCTCACGTAGGTAAATGAACTAGAAGATAGTTTAACTTTTTAGCCAACTTTAAGAAAGGAGGAGTCTCCCAATTCAATCGGTTTTTGTTCTTTATTGTACGGCTGATACGTGATATCTTCTTCGATTTTGAACCAATTTTGATGATTCTCTTTTTTTAAATAGGGTATAGGTTCTTTAGGAGTCCCATGTAAATTTCAATAAAAATTCATCTCAAACAACATAGTGATACAACAAAGTGGATCAATTAAAATATACCTACATTATTTTACTTATTATAACTTTTTATAATATAGATATAGATACATAATTATGTGTGATACAGACATATATACAAACGACTGAAATATATATACTTCCTTCTAGGCAGTCGGGACAAAAAAAAATTTTCATTTAAATTTAGAAAAAAAAATGATTTTAAAATTTTTCCATTATATCTATGCTTGTTCTATAAATTAATCTTTTTTTTATTCAATGCAGCTAGCGTACTTAGCGCTATACCGCGGGAGTAGGACTACATGATAAATGGTTTTTAGTTTTAGTTTTATTATATTAAAAACATTGTATATTTTAATGTTATGTAAATAAATGAATTAGTTCAATATTATGTACATTTTTATACATGCATAAGGTCAGTCGAAATTTCGGAAGCAACCATTATAAAAACAACAATTAACATTTCGTTTCCATAATCTTACCTTGGAAATATATAAATCATAGGATCGACACGGTCTTCTTGATCTGACTCCATGTACGCGATTACCTTCAGGCCGAAGGTCATGAACTCGCCGTCGAAGAAGCGGTTCATGAGGAACATTTGCCCTGTTGCCCAAAAAAAATATTAACGTACACACATAATTTATTACACAAAAAATGATCCCTACGTTACTTTCTATATTATTTCTTACCAATATCACGTTATTTTCATTGGGTAAAGAATATGAATAATTATTATATAATGTAATGTATAACAAAAGAGCATTGCTACAAAGAGGTTACTGTTTCCATAGACAAATACATAGATGGATGGAACCAATGAAATGTAACCAATGAAAGTTAAATGGCACATTGCAGTGTTTACATCCTCGCTGACTGTGACAATAACGCCTACGCCCCGTTATAATTAACTAGGTTTCCAGATCTTATAATCCGTTCAAACCTATCAAAAGCCTCTACATAGATTGCTTCATGGGGGGGGGGGTGAATTTGCCATAGTTGCGACACTTGGCAGTCATGTTGGCAACCGCAGTTTCTGTTATTTTTAGTAGTTATTAAAAAGAAGAGATTCTGTCTTTGTGTCAAAAGTTGTCCGGTTCGCTACACTCACCATACGAAACACAGCACTATTTCCCTGTTTATTGCTGGCATTTTTTGAGAGTGTAGTTTCACTCCGGTCGAGTTCACCTATTCGTGGATAGCTGCAGCGTGGCTCTACCACGTCTTATACCGTTACACCTATCCTAGAGTAAGAATGAACAGGAAATTGTGTTTGCACAATTTAAACCTCAGAACTAAGATGGGATGCTTCGTTACTAGTAAAAGGGGTCTTTTTTTATAGTATAGGGTAAGAAACGGGCACACAGTCCACCTGACGGTAAGTGGTTGCTGTGACCCATAGACATCCACATCTATCCACAATAAAGAATCAAAATACAGATGCGTTGTCACCCGTGAAGACTAAGATGGAATGCCTCGATTCCAGTGAAAAGGGTCTCCGGTTCTATACACTCACCAAACGAAACACAGCAGCGTTAAGCTGCTATTTTACGTTGGTATTCTGTGAGAGCGTGGTCTTTGCCCGGTCGAGCCGACCCATTCGTGCTACAACTATATACTACTAACTACTACTAATATAGCAGCAGTATGGCTCTACCAATTAAACAAAAGTCTCAAAAGTCTTTGGGTCGATTATTGTTCACCACACGAAACAACAGAATTAAGCCGCTACTTTATGCTCGTATTCTATGAGAGTGTGCTCCTTTCTTGGTCATACGCCATTGAGTATCTCTACCACATTAATAACCTTCTTAACAACATTAAAAACCTGGAAATTCCCGCTTATTTTTGAGTGCAACGTTCGAAAATCTACTTAATTTTTGTCTTTTTGTTTTTTTTTAAAATCTTTGAAACGGCTCGACCCACATAAGGCCGGACATCCGGGAATAGTCGGAACGGCTTCCTAGGACCTCAAGACGTGGAGATCGGATAAAAACTCGCATTCTCAAGTCGAACCGAAATCTGTAGCTTCCTACTTTAGAAAATTATTTTATTTTCAAAGCAGGAAGTTAGTAACTTAAAAAGTGAAAACCAACATCAGAGGACTACAAAGAAAAACATAATTTAACATTATAAAGTCGAGTCTAAGACATATTGTATAGAAAAATTACAGCCCCGACTTCAGAATGTGATAATTTCACATTCTTTTTAACCCCCTACGAAAACAGTACATGGGTGTTATTTGCTTGTAGTGTGTATCTGTGTATATGTGTGTGTCTGTGCCATTATAACTCTTGAACGGATAAACTGATTTTGATTTTGTTTTTTATTTTGATAGGTATCTTACTAGAGTGATCTTAGCTATGTTGCAAGAAAATCTATTCAGCCATTTGAAGATCATCAGCTCTTTTTGTTTCGGGGGTTTCAAGTAGGACTGAACTTTTTATTAAAAGTAAATGTTACCCCCTTGAGTGGACTAAGTATATCAAATCAATATCAATGTTGTCTTCATCTTTGTAAACTTCATTATCTATTTTGCTAAACTTAGGGGTTCTTCATTATATATTTAATAAAGAAGGATCTTAAAATTAGTTCACAATTGACGAAGATACCGCGTAACATACATTAATAAAACATACAGTTGAACTTTCTCTTTTTTACAAAAGTAACAATTTACATACAGTTTAATTTAGTCTAAATAAAATTGAAATGTATACAATATGAAAAAAGGCTAAAATAAAAAGTAAACTCAAACTAAATTATCATATAGTCCTACACCCCGTGGTAACGTGCCAAGAACGCTGGCTGCGTTTTTTTGAAGAAGACTAACAACACGCTCCAAGTATTTTGATGCGGGATCTCTACAAATATAAAGTAAAATCTTAGTTCTCTTTACTAATGTTGACCTTTCAAAAGTAAAAAGAGAACAAACCTAAGGCGTAAACTAAACCTGAACTGATTTCACTTTGTTTGTTTCGGACTACTACTACCGGCGGTTTTTATCTAATAAAAAACAACTTTGGTTCCCGCTAGTGAAATTTGCTGATTATGTTACATCGAGTCGTGAGGGCTGGGAAACAAGCGATTGTTTTCGTTTTAGCAATTGTAAAATAATTATTATTTTGGATTTACACAAGTATATTGAATTCGATAATATATTATTTTATTTGCGAATACCTCATATATTCGCTTATATCAAAACGTAGTGATTGTGATACTCTTTGTTACTTTGTATCTTAGAGTTAACATAGCCAACATAGTTTAATCCTTCTTTTACGCGGTAGAGTCATGCTGCAGCTATATTAGTAGTATAGTTGTAGCACGAATGGATCGGCTCGACCGGGGAAGGACCACGCTCTCAAAGAATACCAGCGTAAAATAGTAGCTTGACGCTGCTGTATTTCGTATGGTGAGTGCAGAGAACCGGAGATCCTTTTTACTGGAAAAGAGGCATTCCATCTTAGTCCTCACAGGTGACAACGCATCTGCATTTTGATTTGTAATCGGGGATAGATGTAGATGTCTACGGACTACAGCGACCACTTACTATCTACTAGGTAGACTGTGTGCTCGTTTGTCACCCTCATCCTATAAAAATCATTTACTTTGTATGTTTGATTTTGTCACTGAATTTTTTCCTGGGATCTATCACAGCTTAACTTAAAATATCAACAAGGAGCAATGTTAAGAATATCTTTTATTAAATAAAAGATAACAGTTGGATAGAAAAGTACCTTGTTTTGATAAGTTTTTCTACGTAGCGGAACCATGCTGCATCTATTTTACGGCTCCAGCACGAATGGGTCGGCTTGACCGGGGATGGAACCATAGTCTCACAGTGTAAAATAGCTTAATGCTACTTTGTTTCGTTTGGTGAGTGTAGAGAACCGGAAACCCTTTTTCACAGGTAACGAGGTATGCCATGTTCGTTGTCTCAGGGATTTAAATTTTTACTAGACTTACATATATCATCAAGTAATTATCAAATCTGCATTTTGATAATTAGTTAAGTGTATGGGACACATCATCTGTTTACAATCACATTAAAAGAATGAGTAACATGTACAAATTATTCTTTCAAGTTACATGTCATACTTGAATAAAATCGCTAATTTCGTGGCCCGACGACTTTCCAAACTGATATATCAGAAGGCCATCTGTCGCGTGTCCCGCCCTGAATTACAACTAGTGCTGCCCGCCGATTGTAAATCATAATATTGAATTAAATACGCACATAAAATACCTTATGGGACGCTACTTCTATTTTTAGCCTGTTATTGTTTAAGATATAAAATTTATTTTATTAGTCGAGTTTTTTTACGATTTGTATGTACGCATGGTGGTCAGAGTATCAAATTTGGAATGCCAGTCAGAGCCAACGGTTGTGAAAAGGCTGTAACTAACTGACTGTAACTGTAAGCCATGGAAATCTGTAACCAAGTACAAAATAAATAAGCCTTTAATTCAATAAGGCCATTAATTCGTTGGCACCCCACTGCATTTACCACTAGCTTTCCCTGCCTACTTTCAAAAAAAGAAAGGTGTATAATTTGGCTGTATGTTTTATTTTTTGTATATACGTCACGCACGAGAGTAGAATAAATGCTGTAAAAATGCGATCATTAAGGAATATGTTAGGGATGAATCTGAATGACAGGGTGAGAAATTGTGTGATAAGAGAAGAGGGTGGCTTGGCATGATGTTGTGACCAGGATTAAGAAGGGAATGTTTCGGTGGTTTGGGCGTGTAGAAAGAATGAATGAGGAAAGAGTGACAAAGCAAATTTATGTTGCAGAGGTGAACGGCAGAGTCGGGAAGGGACGCCCTAGACGAAAGTTTATCGACCAAATTGGCGATATATTGAAAATGGGCCAAATCGAGAGTACCTTTAACCGACGAGCATGTATGCGTAGGTATATGGATGTGGAGGAAGCAAGAGAGGTCAGGATCGTGCCAAATGGAAGTCCATAGTATCTGCCTACCCCTCTGAGTGACAGACGTGAGTGTTTATGTATTATGTATGTACGTTACGCGATATCAATTAGTCAATTGTGATTCGATTTTGATGCTACTTTTTTTAAATACACTATAATTCAGGGGTGGTCCCATATAAGTTTGTAGAAGAAATTCCACTCATAGGGGTGGTAAAGTAGTGGATTAAGTTTTTAGATATTTTTTTTATAGGATAGGGTGACAAAAGAGTACACAGTCTACCTGATAGTAAGTGGTTGCTGTGACCCATAGACGTCTATATTTATCCTCAATAAAGAATCAAAATGCAGATCCGTCGTCACCCGTGAGGACTAACATGGAATGCCTCTTTTCCAGTAAAATGGGTCTCCGGTTCTCTACACTCACCATACGAAATACAGCAGTGTCAAGTTGCCATTTTACGCTGGTATTCTGTGAGAGCGTGGTCCTTCCCCGGTTCGAGCCGGACCATTCGTGCTACAACTATACTACTAATATAGCTGCAGCATGGTTAGTAACTATTTAGACACTTTTGCTCTTGTGATATTACTTAGACCAATCGAAAGACTAAAAAATGAAATAAAAGTAAAAGAAAATGTAAAATAATTTGACATTCGAAGTCGGTGCTTTAATTTTTCTATATGTCGCAGCCAACTAGCTTATTTAGCCTTTCAGTTAACAGTCTAGATATTGGCTAGCCATGGCATGGTTACCCCATATTCATTCAACAAGACAGTTCCTGGTCTGTAACTAATTAGCGTTTTGTGCTATGTTATATAAACGTAAGTAGGGTTAGGGTAGGGTAGCCCAAGGGCCACCCCAGCCACACTTTAACCTACTGACGCTGATATTACAAGATATATGCAATGTTGTATTAGACGCATCGTCTGAATATCATTCAGGCCGGTAGCGGAACGGCGCCGTTTAGTAAAAAGACTAGACTGTTAATTGAAAGCCTAAAGCTAGTTGACTGCGACATATATATTACGTTTTTCAGTGTGTGAAATTACTTTATTATTTTTAGGTCTTTGAACTCAACTTTCACGTTTTATTAGGGTTCCGTACCTCAAAAGGAAAAAACGGAACCCTCATAGGATCAATTTGTTGTCCGTCTGTCTGTCTGTCAAGACCCTTTTTCTCAAGAACGCGTGGAGGTATCAAGTTGAAATTCATATCAAATACTCAAGTCTACTGTCCCTTGGAGCTGTGAAAAAATCAAACTTCTAAGCCAACGCAATCAAAAGATACAGCCGTTTATGCCGCAAATTTTCGACATTCGCAAGGGAATCAAAACCTACAGGGTACTTCCCGTGAACTCAGAATCTTAAAATTTGGTACGAAGTAACGTATTATACGCACAGATAAAGGAAAAATTGCGAAAAGCATTTTTAGTTACATCATATAATAAAAATATTTTTAATAATTTTAAACTTATATACCTACGGATTTGTTCGGAACCCTCGGTGCGCGAGTCCGACTCGCACTTGACCGGTTTTTTTTTAAATAGTTTTGATTTTTATCGTAATGACACAGAGCGCGGTCCTGAGCCACCCGCATCTATCGACTTCCTGCATATTATCTTACACTGTTTTTTAAAAAACTTTTTATGTCATGTTTGTTCAAATTGTTGTTTTCTTTTATTCTGTTATACGCATATTGATCGATGTGTTTATAAATATTTACATTTAAGTCCCCAATTATGTGTGTACCGAGTTTGGACTAAATGTCTCTTTCTTTCTTACTAAAATTCTCTCCAAATTCACTCACAATTGCGGGGACCGAGGTAACGTGTCCATACTTACACACCATAAGGGAAATTTGGTACGAAGCAACGTTTTATAGCACAGATAAAGGAAAAATTGCAAAAAGCATAAATTTTTAGTAACATCATCATATAATAAAAATATTTCTAATAATTTTAAACTTATTAGTTACTTAGAGTCCGATTCACACTTGGCCGGTTTTTTTTAATGTTAATTTATTACACTAACTTTTTCACATTCATTAAAATTTTATGGAAGTATGCACAGAGGCCGTATACTACCTATGTTTCGAAGTTAGTCGATGGCGATACGGATTCGATACGATAGGAAACTCACGCTAAAGGGGCTGAAGACCTGAACGAAACTAAAGAATTCTTCAAAATAGAACATAGCATTGGTTGCACTGTTACTAGGGGACAGTAGTACAATAGTACAATAGATGAGAGGGTGCAGGTACCACCCTCAGGTGGATACCCAGACAAAAAATGAGCTCTGCAACATAAGATATATTATTATGATACCATTCCTCTGGTGTTACATATGTTCGTGGACAACAGTGATAACTTACATAAAGGTGACTATTCTCTTTTCTTATAGGATAAAGGTGATAAACGAACGTGTAGCCCATCTGATGGTAAATGGTTGCTGTGGCCCATAGACATTTACATCTAATTTCGATTAAGAATCAAAATGCAGATGCGTTGTCACCTGTGAGGACTAAGATGGAATGCCTCGTATCCAGTAAAAAGATTTCCTCTTCTGTATAAAAGATATATGACAAGCAATTCTTTCTTTTTTCTTTTCTCTCATAATGAAAATTATATTGTGTTTCAAATGCTGACGTTATTATGTTCTAGAACACTTGCGTTACTCACCTATTACATTGACAAGAGCGAGACTCTCGCACAGATAGTACCTGTAGGCCCACCAGTTGTGGTACCTCAGGTTCTCCCACAGGTAGTCCAGGATCAGTTTCTTTTTCGTCTTCTTCTCTATCTCCGTACAAACGCCCACGTCGAGGTCCATCATCAACGCCCGTATCTTGCCCCCCTCCCACGACTTCCACAACCAACGCGGCGCGTAAAATAACATCGCCTGAAACAATTGGAATATGGTCTTAGTTTTTTTTCACAATATATATAATAAATGAATAAAATAAACTTTATTTCAGTAACATAATTCGTACAGTTTGAACCGTGTCCGGAATCTCCTTTTAAGTAAAAAAGATAACTGTGTTAGTGTTGTGCGTGTGTGTGTGTGCATATATCTTTATTATAAAAATTACGTGTCACGTTGTTTGTCCGCGATGGACTCCTAAACTACTGAACTAATTTCAATGACATTTTGCACACTGTGTGCATTTTGGTCCAACTTGAGAGATAGGATAGTTTTTATCCCGATAAATGACCCTCAAAATTTTTTATTGCGAATTTAAGGATTTTTATTGGAAGGGTCATCGGAAAGGGCGGAACAACGTCTATATATATACACTAGCTGACCAGACAGACGTTGTTCTGCCCTTTCCGAACGACCATTTGCTTTCCCAAAAAAAATCTCCTGAAATTAGCAATAAAGAAATTGAGGGTCACTTATCGGGATAAAAACTATCCTATCTCTTAAGTTGGACCAAACTGCACACAGTGTGCAAAATTTCATTAAAATCAGTTGAGTAGTTTAGGAGTTCATCGCGGACAAACAATGTGACACGTAATATATATATAATTTTTCTGTACGTATGTTTTTCACTGAACTCTTTCTAAAGAGCTGGACAGATTTTGATGAAATATTTTATGTGTGTTTAAGTGGATCCCTGGATGATTTAGATTCACAATTAGACCCGGTAGGTAGCGCCGTTGTCGAGATCCAGAAATCACTTACGCGAAGCCGGGTCGGCTCGTTAGTATTACAATATGTTTTAAGCATCACTGTTACTACGTAGTATTATTATTTATTCTGTGCTGTAACATAGCAGTTGTTCATGGGCGGCGGTAGTAACTTACCATTAGGTGAGCCGCATGCTCGTTTACCTTGTTCTCGTATACCTACAGGTATTTTTTTCAAAAAGTAATCAAATTTTAAACTTAAGTTTAAACATATAAATAAGTATATACCGTTATTGCAGTTTTTGAAAATACGAGTAAATGAGACTTCCATTTTTATTTGAAATTATCCCAAATTGGATGTGATTTATGGGCAACAACGTTTTTGCCTACCGATCGACCCTTACGAATGTGTGCGTGCGCAGTAAGTAGTTAAAAATTTGAAATAATGAATTACTTCGCATTTTGAATTTAAAAGATAATAAGGACAGTATGTTTGATATTTTTTTTAATAATTTTTTCTTCACCATTTGTCCATATTACTTATTCTGGACCTATTCTGCTTTGGCCGGTTATTGCAAAATAATTAAAAATTAAAAATTTTGTACAGCCGACTTCAATATAAGTTATTAAGAATAACTCAATAACTATTGGTCTGACCTTGATCAAATTAATATGAGACGGTAGGGAAGTATCAGCTTTCAAATAAAAAAAGAATCGTCGAAATCGGTTCACCCAATAAAAAGTTATGTGGTAACACACATAAAAAAATACCGTCGAATTGAGTACCGTCTCCTTTTTGGAAGTCAGCAGATAACCCTGTATAAAAAATGCAAATTATTTTTACAGTTTGGTGGCAGTGTAAGGGTAAAGTGGGTGTCGTAAGAGGCACTATAAGTAAGGAAAAGCTAGAAATATCTTATGAGCTCCGATATGGCGGGACAACCGTATCACATATAAAAAATACCGTGTACTGTCAGTGTAAGGGGTCATAAGAGGGGAGAAACTGAACAAGGAGATAACCATGGCAAACATCTGCCTGTATTCAGCGTTGACTTGATAGGCATATCTAGAAACAGCATAGTAGAGACCACCTCATTCCCAGGTGTTGTTTCATATACCTACTCGTAAGTACAATAACCCTTATTAAACAATTTATGCTTACTAAAAATTTGAACCTTTTTTATAGATAGGACCTGCCATATTTATTAGACAGATTACGAAAAAATGATTCATAAAAGTCGTTGCTCTAAATAAAAACATTTCAGTCAGAATCAAAAGCAGACATTTTCACTTAGAAGCCCGTTTTAACCTGGGTCCGTGTAACGAAAGATTTATTCATTGCAAAATAGACCGATTGCGATGGTGATAGAGTTGTGAACGCGGTTACGGATGATGTGATGCCAATAAATTCGTCCGGCTAGACGCTATCATAAACCAACGTTTTATGGATATAAAGTATTATTGGAGTTTTCATCGCGTGCGTTTGAATAGTAGTATTTATTTGGGGCGGCAATGTTTCGCCGGCTGTATGTTTGCGTCATACGATGTCTCTATTATAATAAACATAAAGCACAATCATAAACACAATCTTCTCTCTTTGACGCTAGATGGCGTTAGCTGTTGTATGACTTATGTTTACTCTTGTGTTGGTCACAATGAAATAGTTTTTAAATAACTACTTTAAGCATCATAACTGTGTAGTGACGGTGAAAGCATACCCACTACCCCATATCGTCTTGTGGGTCTCATAAAGGCAAAATAACCAAGAGATGGGAGGCCACATCTTCTTAATAACATGCATGGCAGGCGGGTGCCAAATGTGGCATCTATGGCATATATCACCACTATGAGGACTTTTGTTAGGGTGTAGCGGTACCTTTATGTGTGGAGAAATAGGTCCAACTCGAAGACTTAGCGAATTTAATATAAATGTGAATGTGGCGCAAAAAATAAGGTATAAAGAACAAGAGATTTTAAGCTGTATTCTGTAATAGCGTCCTCTTTCGTGTTAAAACAACCATGAGCACGTAACAATGTATAAGATATAGGTATATAACTATATTATATGTGACTCTGAACTTGTGAACAGCTTTTGTTAATGATGATGATATAATAATGAAGTTATAAAATATGGAAATATAAGTATTCTATTGACAAAAACTTTAGAATTTCGCCTGTAGATTAGTGTGGGCAACACTTCTAAGTAGAATGCTTAAAAGCTGGCGTTTCTGCGCCTTTGTCCAATTGTGGCCTATTGGCAGAAAACAAATAAGTAACCCAGGGATTAACAATTATGTTTATTTATTTTATTTTAATATGAGGATAAAGGTTAATGAAAGCATACACCAAGTTTTTTTTTTTATATGATAAGGGTGACAAACGACCACACAGTCCACCTGATAGTAAGTGGTTGCTGTGGCCCACAGACATCTACATCTATCCTCGCTTATTCATTAAAATGCGGATGCGTTGTCACCCGTGAGGACTAAGATGGAATGCCTCGTTTCCAGCAAAAAGGGTCTCCGTTTCTCTACATTCACCATACGAAAATCAGCAACGTTAATCCGCTAATTTAAGTGGATGTTGTAGCCCATAGACATCTACATCTGTTTTCGTACGTGCTAGAGCAATGCTACAGCTATATTAGTAGTATAGTTGTAGCACGAATGGGTCGGCTCGACCGGGGAAGGACCACGCTCTCACAGAACACCAGCGTAAAATAGCGGCTTAACGCTGCTGAGTTTCGTATGGTGAGTGTAGAGAACCAGATACCCTTTTTACAGGAATAGAGGCATTTCATCTTAGTCCTCACGGGTGACAACGCATCTGCATTTTGATTCTTTATTGAGGATAGATGTCTATGGGCCACAACAACCACTTACTATACTGTGTGCTCGTTTGTCACCTTATCCTATAAAAAAAAATTAAGAATCAAAATGCTGATTATTTTCACTGCTGAGGACAAGATGGAATGCCTCATTACCAGTAAAAAGGGTCTCCTGTTCTTTACACCCACCATACAAAACACTTGAGCTACTATTTTACGCTGGTATTCTGTGAGGGCGCTGTCCTCCAACGGTCGAGCCGACCCATTCGTGCTACAACCTCAATATTGCTGCATTATGGTATATTACTTGGACAAATGTTTACTCTTTGTTTAACAGTAGTCTTTTAATAGGCTGATGTTAATGCTATGAACCGAATTGCCTATGAAAATATATATCCCGCTGCATTTCTTGCAGAAGGTTTTTTTTTCGAACCAATGGTAAAGTAAAAAATGACTCTCAAGAAAAATTACATTCATGTGATCTATATTGAATAAAAAATGTTCTATTCTATGGGCTTAGCGCTCGCTGTAAATTCCATAGTACACTAGCAACCTGACTTAGATCCCAGCTGGCACCAATAAATCTATTACTTGCAGTTTGAAAAGCTGAATTTCCACGTACTCGGCCGTGAAGGCAAACATCTTGAGGAAACATGTATGTAACCTGAAAATTAAAATATTCCGAGGACAAGTGAAGACCAATAGGCACGGATAGGCACTGGAGCAGCGCCTCGGACTAATTGCTCCATAAACCTCTCAGAAAGAAGCCTGTGTATAACAGAGATTTTTTTTATAGGATCGGGTGACAAACAAGCACACAGTCCACCTGATGGTAAGTGGCCACTGTAACCCACAGACATCCACGTCCATCCTCAACAAAGACTCAAGATGCAGATGCGTTGTCACCCGTGAGGACCAAGATGGAATGCCTCTTTGCCAGTAAAAAGGGTCTCCGGTTCTCTACACTCACCATACGAAACACAGCAGCGTTAAGCTGCCATTTCACGCTGGTATTCTGTGAGAGCGTGGTCCTTCCCCGGTCGAGCCGACCCATTCGTGCTACAACCATAATATAGCTGCAGAGTGGCTCTACCACGTAAGATGCGTAGAAAAAGCTTGCGCCCGGACGTATATACGCTGTGTAAGTTTTCAAACGACTTGAAATAATTAAAAATTAAAAATTTTGTACAACCGACTTCAATATAAATTATCAATAACAACTCAAAAACTATTAGCCAGACCTTAATCAAATTTATATGGCACCACGCACCACATGTGAAGCACCAGCTTTCAAATGAAAAAAGAATCATTGAAATCGGTACAACCAGTAAAAAGTTATAAGGTAACACACACATAAAAAAAGCATACAGTCGAATTGAGTACCGTCTCCTTTTTGAAGTCTTTAGAAAACGAGGAGGTTCTTAATTCGTCGGAATCTTTTTTAT